CAGGCCAGGCACCTGGCACCCACTAGCTACACCTTGTCAGTGAGTCCCTGGCTCCCTGGCTCAGCTCTGCGGGAGGCGGAGGGGTGGCTGGGAAACCCTCCATCCTGTGCCCACGGAGGGGCCTGGGCGCAAACCCCAGGCGGGTGGGGCCAGGCCCGTGGCTGGGCCAGAGTCCGGTTCCTCCTCCCCCCCAGGTGGCCTGCTCTGCGGCTCCCGGGAGGAGAAGGAACCCCCAAAACCCATGCACCCCAGGACCCGGCCTCCCTCCCTCCCAAGGTGGGCTCACTGGTGGGGAGGGGGCCCCTCTCAGGGCTGGGGTGCTCCAAGAGGGGGTTGGGGGGCAGACTGGGGCGCGCTGGGTCCTGGGGTGCACGCCGCTCACGCAGCTGTCCCCCTGCTTCCTGGAGGGTGGGCTTGGCCTCCAGCAGCTGGTGGGCGGCTGGCAGGCAGGGAGGGGGCGCACTGGGCGCCTTGGGGCCGGGCACATCCCTGTGGGAGCCCTTCCCCCTGTTCTGCTGCTCTCACTGGAGGGAGTCAGACTGGACGCCCTCCCAGCCCCTCTGCCCTCCCAGCCCGGCTCTCACTCTCCCCTCCTGCTCTCCGGGCTGTCCGTGGCTGCCACAGGCTGTCACAGAGCCGGGAGGGGAGTGGGGAGTGGGACCCGGATAAAACGTCTGTCCCAGCCTGCTGTTCCTTCAGGTCAGTCCCAGAAGTGTCCCCACGGTGGCGCTGGAGGGCCAGGACAGTCACAGGGCCCTGTGCTCAGCTTTGTTAACCACCAAGTGGCCTGAGGAGGTGCCGGTGCGCTGGACGCCAGCAGGGCCGTCCAGTGGTCCCTGTCCCTGCCCCTGTCCCAAGGCGCGAGGCAGCATCTGGACACTGGACTCGTGTCCTCGGCTGAGCTGCTGGGCGAGGAGCAGGCCCTGCCTTGCAAACTGCCCCCATGCCGCCAGGACACTGGACACGCTGGCCCCAGCCCACGTGTTCCTTTGGGGGACTCAGGACCAGCAGTGAGTATGAATGCCCTCTGCCCGCGGGACCACAACCCTGAGGGCGAGGAGGTGCCCGCTGCCCCCACCCCACGGCGCTGAGCCCTGGGCTGGGGCTTGGGTGGAGGGCACAGTCCCAGTCAGAGACCTGATGTGGGTCAGGAGCACGCGGAGGAGGCAGGGAGCAGTCTGAATGCCAGCTGTGCCCCGCCAGCCGTCCCGCCAACCCTGCCCGCCGCCACCCCAGCCTGGACCTAAAGGCCGCTGCGCCTGTCCGCCTGGCAGATAACAAAAAGCCAAAGGAGCGAGCCCCCGCTGGCAGAGGGGTGACGGGGAGGCCACAGAGGCTGGTGGGAATGTGACTGCTCGAGCCTTCTGGAAAGGAGATCTGTACCAACAACATGACACGTGTACGTGCACTGCACACCCGTGCACACACATGTACATTCACACACACAAACAGATGCACACCCGCACCCGCACATACCCCTGGAACATCCCGCTCTGTGTCAGCTCCAGTGCACCCCTCGGGTGGGAAAGGAGCTGGAGGCCCCCAAAGCACTGGGCCAGAGCCGCCACCTGGGGGTGGGGTGGAGAGAGGAAGCGAGCAGAGAGCGCCCTGGGATTTAAAGCAGACGCTCCTGGAAATTATCCCCAAAGGAAATTTTAAAAAATACTTATTTTATTGATTTTTCACAGAGAGGAAGAGAGAGGGATAGAGAGCTAGAAACATCGAGGAGAGAGAAACATCGACCAGCTGCCTCCTGCACACCCCCCCACCGGGGATGTGCCCCCAACCAAGGTACATGCCCTTGACTGGAATCGAACCTGAGACCTTTCAGCTGATGCTCTATCCACTGAGCCAAACCGGTTTCGGCCCCAAAGGAAATTTTTATTAAAACAGAACAGAAGAGGTGGGGCTATCCATGGACCCCCCTCGGGTGTATGGGCCCCGTGGACACCAGCCCTGAGCCAGGCGAGGGGGACCCCAGGGCCAGGCACAGCCCCTGTTCACTGTCCCGGTGGGAAGACCCCTCACTGGGTCCCACAGTGGCCAGGGCCCCCGGAAAGATGGCGGCTGGAGGGTAAGGAGGACAGGAGAGGCGGAGGAGGGAGGAGGCTGAGGCGGGGCGGGTGCCCTCCTGGGGACGGAGATGCAGATGGGACAGCCTGTGGGCTGAGGCTCCACTCTGCGCGGAGCCTCCAGCTTCACCGTCTGCCCGGAGCCGGCGCCGGCCCCGGGAACGCACCTGCCGGAGCAGCCGCAGGCCCCTCTGGGGAGGGTCCGGGAACAGCCACGGCTCTACTGCAGCCTTGTCTCCACCTGGAGGCTTCGGCCTCTGGACCTGGGACCTCTCTCCTCCCCACCTGGACTGGCTGCCACAGCGGAGGGAGCCTGGGCCAGCACCCGGCTGATTCACCGCCCTGGCCACAGCACAGCCACCTGCTGGCTGTCCCAGGCCGGCTGCCGCCACCAGGGTGGGGCCCTGCAGTGTGGGGACCCAAGGTGCCTGGTGCCCTGCGCTCAGGAACACCCCCCTGACACCCCCAGAAGGCCCCCCACCCCACAGGGCCCCCAGGGGCAGAGGGGAGACACAGGTCGGCTGAGTCCAGCCTCACTGCCAGCACCGGGCCCAGACAGGGCGCTCACTAGTGCGGTCCACAGGAGAGAGACAGGGTGGGGAAGACGAGCCCCCACCCCCCGCCCAGGGCCGGTACTCCCCCCCCCAGGAGGGAGAATCGGGAGCCACTCAGAGGAAGCCCCACTGGGAAGGTGCCCAGACACCTGGCCGGGTGGCCCCACTCTGCGGCTGTGGGTCCGAGGGAGTGCTGGGGGGGGGCGCTGCTCATGGGGGGGGGGCGGGCAGCCTGGGGGAGTGGGCTTTGTCTGGGAGGCACTGCTCCCTGCAGCCCCCCTCGTGCCGGCCCCCTCCCTCCAGCCCAGCTTCCCCGTCTGTCAGGAGCCCGGATTGCACTCCCCACGCTGAGCCAGGAACCCCCTTCTCTCTGTCACTGGGGAGTCCACCCTCCCCTGGCCGGGCCCTCTGGCTGGGAGTCCGGGGAGCAGTCCTTGGGGGGCAGCTCCCCAGCCCCCAGCTCGGCGCCACCCGTGGGCGGGAGGCCCATCTCCGCCTGCACCAGCGAGCTCCTCCGGGCAGGGGCCACGGGTCTTTGTTGGGGCAGGTGGGCTGGAGGGGGACGGAGGGCAGCCGCGGTCCTGAGCGGGCAGACAGCCCTCCCGAGGTCGCGGTCCCCGGGCAGCCGCGGGGAAATCCTAGGCGGGCGGTGGGCCCGGGAGAGCGGCCCGGAGGCCTGGACGCGCCGCTGGTCTCCGCGCCAAGGACCCTCCAGGCTCCCCGCCGCCCCGCGCCCCTCGGACCACAGCGCCGCGCAGAGAGGCCCCAGGCTCCGAGCACGAACCCAGGCCCCGCCGCTGCCCGCCGGCCGCGCCCGCCTGCGCCCTCCGCGTCGCCCGGTGGATCCGGAGATGGAAGCGAGAGGGAGGCCGGGCCGCCGCCGACCTGGACCTGGGGGAGCGGTGCCCGCCTTGGATTGCCCCCCCCCGTTCCCCGACCCCCATTCCCCCGCGTCTCCCTGGCGATGGGCGCAGGGATGGGTCGCCCCGCGGTAACCCGCGTCCAGGGAAGCGGCTCCGCCCGTGCGGCCGCCTCGACCGGGCCTGTCGGCCGCCGCCCGGCGGGAGTCCGTTCGGAAGGCGCTCCCTGCGGCTCCTCGGGCGGCTGGCGGCGCACCTGCCCGCGCTCCCCGCTGCGGAGGGGGGAGGGCGCTCCCCGCGGGCTCACAGTACAGAAATGGGGCGCAGAGGAGGGGCTCTCCCCTCGGCCTCCCCCAGGGGCAGCGGCTGGAAGCCGGGCCTCCCCAGGAGCTGGCCATGGGGACCTGCTCTTAGTGACTCAGGCGGGTATGGGGGCCGGAGCCTGGGCACTGGAGTTCCGCCCGTCACACGACAAGCTCCACTCTCATTCAGTGCGAACGTGAGACCGGGCCCGGCCCGCGTGGCTGCGCTGAGCAACTGCCAGGAACCCGGAGGTCACCGGTTGGATTCCGGTCAGCGCACAGGCCCGGGTTGCGGCTCCATCCCCGGCATGGGGCTTGCCGGAGGCAGCGATCAACGACTCTCTCATCATGGATGTCTCCATCTTCCGCTCCCTTCTTCTCTGAAATAAAAAAAAAATAGATATTTAAAAAATAAAAGAAAAAGAAAAAATGCCATAATTTTGCCCGGACACTCGGGGTCTTTAAAAAAATGACTGTGGCCAGCCCCCTGCGACTTCTTGGACGCCCCGGGTTTCCACACCCCCTCATACACACGCACACGCGCGCGCACACACACACACACGCGCGCACATGCACACGCACAGGCACAGGCCACGCACACACACACCAGGTCCAACACTCCCCAGCGGGGATGACGGCCCCGCAGGACGGTGATTGGCCAGCCTGGCTCTTATCGGTCCCGCAGCCAATGGGCGGTCTCCGGGCCGAGGCCCAGCTACCCCCGCCCCCCCCCTCCCCGGCCCCCCTCGGAGCGCTGGCGCGGACCCCGGGAATGGATCCCGCCGGGTCGGACCCGCCGCGCCCCCCGCCTGGGTCCCCGACACACGACGTCTGCGCGCCCGGACCCCGGGCATCTGGCGGCCTTGGCCGCGCCGGGCCCGCCGCGCGCTACGGGGGCTGAGCTGGCGGCCGCCCGCCCCGCCCGCTGGCCCCTCCCCTCCCCTCCCCTCCCCGCCCCCAGCGGGCAGGCCCGGCGGCGACCGGCGCGGCGACGGAGAGGAGCGCCAGGCGCTGTCCGGCCGGCTGTGGGCGCGCACCCGCTCCCGGCCCGGCCCGACCCGGCGCGGAGGCCGCCCGACCCCGCGGGGCCCCAGGGCCGCCCGGCGCGTGCACCAGAGCCGCGCGCCCCGTCCCCCGTGGGTGCGGGACCGGCCGCGCCCCGGGCGCTCGGCACCGAGGAGCCCCGCCGAGCCCGCCGGGCCCGCGGCGGAGATGCCGGAGGAGCTGACGGAGCCGGGGCGCGCCACGCCGGCCCGCGCCTCCTCCTTCCTCATCGAGAACCTGCTGGCGGCCGAGGCCAAGGGCGCGGGGCGCGCGGCCCGGGGCGGCGGCGGCCGCGAGGACGGGGAGGACGAGGACGAGGACCCGGAGGACGAGGACGCGGAGCGGGCGCGGCGGCGGCGGCTCCAGCGGCGGCGGCAGCTGCGTGCGGGCCCGGGGCCGGGCGGTGAGGCGCGGGCGCGGGCTCCGCTGGGGCCGGGCGCGCTGGGCCTCGGCCCCCGGCCGCCCCCCGGGCCCGGGCCGCCCTGCGCCCTGGGCTGCGGCGGCGGGACGCGCTGGTGCCCGCGGGCGCACGGCGGCTACGGAGGCGGCCTGAGTCCGGACAGTGAGTGAGGGCGAGTGGCGGGCGGGCCGGGCGGCGGGGCCCGCTGCTTCCCCGCGCATTTGCTCGGGGACTTTTTGGGGTCACCCCCCCTCCCCTCGTGTGTGGCGGAGTCTGGGTCGCGTGGGCCGGAGCAGAGACCCGGGGCGCGTTTGGAGGCCTGCTGTGTGGACAGGGTGCCCGCGGGGAGGAGGTTCCACCATCGCCCGACCCTGCGGGGCCTGGGGGGCTGGAGAGCCGGGAGGGCCTGGGCGAGGCGGTGACAGTGGGAGGAAAGAGAACGTGAACCCGATGAGGAGAGAGGGGCCTGGAAGACAGCAGAGAGGGATGGGGACGGGGGACGCTGCAGGAGCAAAGCAGAGGAGGCTCAGAAAAAGAACCCAGCGAGCGGGAAGAGAGGGGGTACAGGGAGGAGGAGGAGGAGAGGAAGGGAGGACAAAGGAGAGTCAGATGCGGGGAAACACAGGCGTTGAGCAGAGGGAGCCACCGTTGTGGGGGCCGGACCCCGAGAGGAGCGGCTTCCAGTGTCTGTGCCCGAAATCCCGTCTCCTGCGTGAGCTGCGGACTAGGCCACTGCCCGGCCTCTCTTCCTCCCTCCAGGCCGAGGGCTGTGGTCTGCCAGGCAAGAGGGGCTCCTGTAGTGAAGCCCCCCTCCCTCCTGCTCCTCCCCCTCTCCTGCCTTTGTTCCTGCTGAGGGCTGGGACTGGGGTTCTCAGCCTCAACACCCACTCATTCTGAACCCCGAGTTCTGCCCCCTTCCCCGAGGTTCCTAGAAGGGCCGCTGCTTCCTGGGGGGACCTGGCCTTGGCAGGGAGACACTGGGAGGGGCCCTGGGAAGCCATTCCAACCAGGCCCCGGGTTTCACCAGCCCCCAAACACACACACACATACAGACACACACACACACAGACACACATAGACACACACAGACACACACACATATACACACAGACACACACAGATACACACAGAGATACACACACACAGAGGCCCCACACACACATATAGACATAGACACAGACACACACACAGACACACACACATACACTGTGGCCGGCTTGGTCCGGTTCTGGGGGCTCTTGAACTGAGGTCCACTCAGCCCTGGGGCGTCTTGTGTGCTGCTCCGGTTTGGGAACCCCTCTCTGATGTGTGAGGCGGGGAGGGGGCAGGTCCTGAGCCCTGTTATTAATGTGAGCAGGCCTGTTTCCTAAAAATCCGGTGATCCAGTGTAGGGCCCTTCCTGGGGTGACTCTGAAGAGGGGCTCAGAAGGTGAGACCCCCCCCCCCACTTCCTCAGCTCCGGAGGTGGCTGGGCTCCTTTCACACCATGCGGGTTAGGGCCCCAGCCTGCGGCGTCAGAGCCGTTGGCCAGCCTCCGTGAGTCTGGGGGTGTGGGTGTGGTGGGCAGACAGGCTCCCCACATCACTCTGCGGCACCCAGAGGTGTAGCCACCAGGGTAGGGCAGGGGCACCCAGAAATCAGCATCCCCCCCCCCCCCAGTGGCACCAGGCAATACAGGCCACCACCGGCCTCAGCTGCCGCTCCAGCCTCTGCCAGCGGCCTCTCCTCCCCTGTGGGAGTCGGGACCTCGGTGTTTGGAGCCGGTCAGGGCCCTGCGCCTCGTGCGGAAAGCCCAGGCTGCAGGCCGCCCTGGTGCTCGCGGCGGCTGCGTGTGCTGCGGCCTGAGTGCTGGGGGAGCATGCGGGGAATCTGGGTCAGGAGCGGGGAGAAGGGGCGGTGGGCACCGGGGCCTGAGCACCGGAGGTTCCCGGGGGAGCCAGTGCGTTGGCGGCCTGCCTCCCGCAGGAACGCTTCTGTGCACGCGGGTCCTGCACCCGCTCCTGCGCCAGCGCCGGCCCAGCCGGGTCTCGTTTCCGGGGCTGCGGCTGCGGCCGGGAGTGTCCGCTGCCCCCGGGCGCCCCACATTTCTCTGGAGGACCCTGACCTCCCGGGGCGGCCTGCGGGTCCGCGTTCCAGGCGTTTCGCTGGCTGCGGGGCAGGCCTCCGCGCGCTCGTTGGCGGGTCTCTGTCTGTCTGTCTCCGGTGTGGGTGCTGGTAGTGTCCGGTCCGCAGGTCCCCTCCTGCCCCGCCTCTCCATCCCCGCGGGATGTGCCTGCGCGGCGCCGGTGCGAGAGGGTGCCCGCGCGGCGCGGGGGGCGGCGGGGGCCCCGGGGACCGGGTCCGGGCGCAGCCCGAGCAGCCGCCTGTTTCCCTGTCTTCCCAGCAGCCAGCGACCGGGACTCGCCCGAGGCCGGCGAGGAGCTGGGCCGCGCGGAGGGCGCCTGGCCGCGGGGCCCCGGGCCGGGCGCGGTGGCGGGGCCGGCGGCGCAGGGCCCGGCGGCCGGCGCGGAGGAGGCGGCGGAGGCCCGGGCGGCGGCGGAGGCCCCGGCGGCGGCCGGCGGCCGGAAGAAGAAGACGCGCACCGTGTTCTCGCGCAGCCAGGTCTTCCAGCTCGAGTCCACCTTCGACCTGAAGCGCTACCTGAGCAGCGCCGAGCGCGCCGGCCTGGCCGCGTCCCTGCAGCTCACCGAGACGCAGGTGAAGATCTGGTTCCAGAACCGGCGCAACAAGTGGAAGCGGCAGCTGGCGGCCGAGCTGGAGGCGGCCAGCCTGTCCCCGCCCGGCGCGCAGCGGCTGGTGCGGGTGCCGGTGCTCTACCACGAGAGCCCGCCCGCCGCCGCCGGGCCGCCCGCCGCGCTGCCCTTCCCGCTGGCGCCCGCCGCGCCCGCGCCGCCGCCGCTGCTCGGCTTCTCCGGGGCGCTGGCCTACCCGCTGGCCGCCTTCCCCGCCGCCGCCTCCGTGCCCTTCCTGCGGGCGCAGATGCCCGGCCTGGTGTGAGCCCCTCCGCCGGGCCACTCCCCGCGCCGCCCGGAGCGCCGGGACGCCCCGCGGGGGCCACGCCGGGGCCCGGTGCGCCCTCAGCCCCTGGGCTCCGGAGGCCAGGCCGGGCGGGCTGTGCCTCACGCGCCCCCAGAAGATAACGGACGCGGCGGGCGCGGCGGAGCTGTGAGGCCGGAAGCCGTCGCCCGGGAAGGGGCTGAGCCTGGAGGTCCCTGCAGAAGCCGCGGGAGCCCGCACCAGCGCCGCAGACAGCCCCCAGCACCGGCGCCGCGGGGACCGGCCGGCCTCCGGGACTGCGAGCCCCTCGGGCGGGGACTCGGGCCGCGGAGAGGCGGGCGCGGGGCAGGTGCGGCCGGACAGGCGGGCCCGCAGGTCTCCGCTCGGAGCGCAGGGCTGGGCTGGGGCTCCCCAGGGGCTTCGGCGCCAGAGGCCAAGAGTCTTCTTCTTCTTTTGTTTTTTTAACGAATCTACTTATTTGCGTATGGAATAAAAAGGGACGTTTTCTGGAGCTCCGGCTGCTGTGTGGTCACTGGGCGGGGCCGCCCTCTCCGGGCACTTCCCCTCCGTGCACTTCCCCTCTGACCTGGGCCCAGAGCCGGCCCGCTGGCTGCAGGTGGGCCGGAGTCTGAGGTCTGGGGGCCCAGCTGCCAACCCCCCTTCCCCCGGAGGAAGTGGGGCCGGGGAGGGAGCTGGGAGGGAGAGGGGCACCAGGTGGGTCCTGTACCCCAAATTCTGGGGCTCCACACAAACCGGCAGCCACCAGGCAGTTCAGGCAGAACCTGTGGCTGCTTCGCTTGGCACCGGAGGCCGTGCGGCAGCCATGCCCACTGTCCCATTGGGACGAGTTAAAAACTTCCAAGCAGATGGGGCTTTTCTTTTGGCCAAAACAAAACCCTGGCGCTCCAGCAAGATCTGGGGGGGACGGTGACCTCCGCCTCATCCCCCTCACTCCGCCTCGCTTCACCCTGGGTGCCTGCAGTCTCTGGCCCCCTTGGGCTCGGACCTGGAGGCCGCGGTAGGTAGGTGGTGCAGTCCCTGCTCAGGGACGTTAGTGGGCTCTAGAATTCCAAAGGCGGGTCCCCATGGCCACCTCTCTCTGTCAGTGCCCCCCTCTCCCCACCAGCCCGCTGCAGGCTGCAGGCAAGGCCCCTGTATTGCATCCCCTTCTCCAGCCTGGGGCGGGTCCTGGGGTGGAAGGGTCGCTACCGTGACTGCAGAGCCCGCCCCCTGGAAAACCTCCATCCGGCTTGGCCTGGGCTGCCAGCCGGAGCGAGAGGCTCAGCAGCCTGGTCACACGCAGCCCAGGACAAGGCGCCCTGGGGCCTCACTGCCCGGCAGCCCGTGGGCCCATCTACTGCCCAGCTCTGACCCGCATCATCCCTGCGGCCTTTCCCCAGTGCCCCGAGGCCAGCCCCTGAATCCCGGTGGGGCCTCCGAGGTGACCCAGGCTGTCCTGGCACCTTGCTTCCCGTGCCTGATGCAGGACAGAAGGGAGCATCTTAAGGAACTTAGGGGCCCACCCCCCACCCCAGCCCCATTCCATTGTGGAGGTAGACCCATCAGCCTCCTCTTGCCCCCCCCCCCAGGCCCAGACTCGCTCTCCTGGAGGGGCGGCTAACCCCCTACTTTTAGCAGCTGCTGAGCCTCAATTTGATCTCGTCTAGAAGGGACTTGGATCTGGTTTAACAAGCAAGTTTGCTGCTAGCTGTGCCCTGTCAAGGCCTGCACGCCTGGTCTGCGAGGTGCCAGGGGGCTCCCTCCACACGGCCACTCCGAGGGCCGCACCCACTGTCCCTCCATCGCCGCTCCCGCTGGCCCTCACTGGGCCCCCACATCTGGCTCAGGCTCCCGGGACCCACGTGCTCGGTCATGTTGGTGGTGGCCTCATGCCATCAGCGGACACATCCTGAGGACAGCCTCCTGCAGCTCCGTCCTCCATCGGAGGCCTGCAGCGCCCACCCGCTCTGCACACCAGGCCACAGCCCCGGGACCCCGTGAGCCCAGCACCCGCCCTGTGACCAGCCACCGTGTTCTCGGGAATGCTGGGCCACCGGGAATCAGGAATCCAGAACCAGAACAGGATCATTGAACCCCAAGTTAAAAGAGGCAGCCCGCAAAGCAACTGCTTTATTGGACGGTGGCCCTGAGGTGACATGGTGGCTGCAGCTGCGCTGAGCAGAGGCGGTGCCTGTCTTGGTCCTGGGCAGGTTTCCCTCGGGGCAGGTGGGTGCGCTTCAGGCAGGCCGGTCTGGCCCAGGAGCCCCAGGGCGCGGGGCCACAGGCGTGTGAAGGGTGGGAGTCCGTGGGCGCAGTGAGAAGTCCCACTCTCCAAGAAACAGGAGAAGGGAGCGGGAGAGGAGGGCCGCGTCTTTCCGATGAATCCCTGGATGTTTGGGCTGGCCGGCCCCTGCCTGCGGGGCTGGGGGCGGGGCGGCTGGCGGGTGCGGGGCTGAGGCGGCTGGAGGGCGGCGGTGGCGGCGGTGTGGAGGAGGCTGCGCCCCTCTCGGAGGGCCTGGCGCTGTCTCCGGAGCTGGGAGCCCCACGGGGAGGCACAGAGAGCCGATTACCCAGCATCCCGGGGGGGGGGGGCAGGGCAGCACCTCCAGGGAGCAGCGGTGGTTACAGCGGGGCCAGGCTGGGACCGCAGCGCCAGCCCCAGCGCCATTGATCCCTGCCAACCTCGGCGTGCTGGCTCCACTCCTGGCCCAAGACGGATGGCTTAGGTCTGCCTCCACCTTGCCTGCCCTCCCCTCCACATGCCACCCCGCCCACCCCTCAGAGCCCGACTCAGCCACCAGGGCTGCCTGGTGTCGGGTCAGACTCCCTGAGCCCAGCAGGATCCGATGGCTTTGGACGCCCAGGCAGGCCCGCCTTGGCCCAGCCCCGGCGGCAGTGACCTTGATCCGGCCCCTTCTTTTCCGGCTGAGAATGGGCTCTGCCCTGTGAGTACTGGGCCTCCCCCACACCCTGGAGGCTGAGGAGAGCCCAGGCCAGCGCCACCCACGCCCAGGAGTCTAGGGGTTACCCGAAGGTGTGGGATTCGTAGGATTCGGAGTGACCCAACGCCTCCTGCACGCTGTGCCCTGCGTGGGTAGGACAGGCCAAGTCCTCACTAGCGCCCCCCAGAGAAGAAGGTGGAGAAGCAGCTCGCCCAGAGCGGGTCCCTGGGGTGGGACCTGCGCTGTGGGTCTGGGAAGGGCTACTACAGGGGACGAGGGCTGGGCCGTGTCTTGGGTCGGGGGTGGGGTGGGAAATGGAGCTACAGCCTGAAGCAAACCACAGCGGGCTCCTGCTCCAGCAGACCAGACCAGCTCCCTCCTCCCCAGGTACTGCCCGATCCCACTGGCTCCACCCAGACACCCCAGGACCCATCCAGGACCCCCTCCAGCTCCATCCAGCCACCCCTGGCTTGGGCCAAGCCTGCCTGCTTCCTCCTAAGCCGCCTGAGGGATTGAGGGGCACCTGCCTAGCAGGCGGCTCCCTGCCACTCTGACTCCTGCGCCCAGGGCCTCCCGTGGGCTGACCCCAGGCACACTGAGCACTGCAGGCCCCTCTCCCAGGCGAAGGTGCCCCTCCCGAAGGGCCTGGGGAGGAGTTCCCAAAGCCTGGGCGCTGAGCTGCCGGGGACTGAGACAAAAGGGCTGGGAGCTGAGGGGACGGTTGGCACTGAGAGAGGGAGGCAGGAGCTGCAGGCGGGCGCCCTTTCTCTTGTGCCTGCAGGTCTCTCTCCCGAGCATCCTTTGTGGCCTCTGGTCCCATCTGGCAATTTTCTTAAAATTAAAAACACATTTTTATTGATTTTTAGAGAGAGGAAGGGAGAGGGATAGAGAAAGAGAAACACCGATGAGAGAGGAGCATCATCCGCCAGAGGCTCCTGCAGGGCCCTCCTGGGGATCCAGCCAGCAGCCGGCATGTGCCCTGACCCCGAATCCAACCTGCGACCCCTTGGCTCCTGGGTTCATGATTCTCAACTAGTGAACTACACTGGCCAGGCCCACCTGGCAGCTCTTGGAAAGGGAAACCGAGGCTCCAAGAGGAGCAGAGATTCTGGGGCAGGGACCCCGCGAAGTAACTGGGCCACCCCCGCCCTGGAGCCCGTCTGTGCTGAGCAGTCCCCGTCCTCCCGACTCTGAGGCCTCCATCTGGACCCCACTCAAGGGACAAAGGTGCCAAGAGGAAGCCGAGTCCCGGCCGCCTGGAGACGCAGCCGCAGAGCCCCCCGCCTGCGGGGTCCGCGCTCCGGAGCCACCGGCCCTGCTCTGTGCTTGCTTAAGCTGCACCGGGACCGGGACCAGGACAGGGACCAGGACTCGAACCAGCCGGCTTCCCTGCAGGCAAGTGGGACAGAAGCCGACCACCAGTCTTCCACCAGGACAAGCTGGCGCTTCGGAGGGAGACTGGGGCGGCATACTGAGAGGTGCGTTTTTAGCCGTATTGTTAATCTTTTATTTCCTGTGTTGATCTTGATTTATTTTCTATATTGTTAATCTTTAAAAAAAAGTTCTTGTCAGTTAAAGACACATGTATTTACTGACGAAATGGTGTGATATCTGCGTTTGCTTGAAAATATCTCAACAAAAACAAACTCATTAGCTGAGTGCTAATGAAGAGAAGGGACCCGGCTTCCTTTCCAGCTCCCTCTCCGTCGCTCCCGTTAGGAAACGTCCAGAATAAAGGCTCGTTTAAAAGGAGGAGCGCCCGGTGCTGCCCTCCGGCCCGCGGAGCCGTGTTTTCATCCCACCCGGGTCTGCCGTCCCGCGGCCCGCTCCCTGGAACCGGCGTGAAGCCGCTTCATCCGGGCTGGACCTTCCGGCCTCTGTCCCCGCGGAGCGTCCCGGCCCAACCCGCCAGCGAGGCCGCCGAGCGCGGGGACGGCCGGCCCTCACCGCTGGGCCCCCGGCGCCGCCCCCGCCCCAGCGGGCCAGCTGTGGGTCCGAGCCCCAGCCCGGCGTGGCCTCGCGGCCCCGTGTTCGTGTCTTTGGTTCCGTTTGCGCCCG